TTGTCCCTATTTTACCCAGCACTGGGTTGTGTTTAACCCAGCATTTTTTAGGGAGTAGAGATCAGACCACCCTGCTGTTGTATCACTGCTGCGCACACAGCTCTACAGCTCAAGTGCACATATCTTTCACTTCCTTATGGTATCTGAGATACTCCCATTTCAATAGTAACCTGTCAGTAATGATTCAGTGCTCTGCCATCTAACCGAAGAAGAGAAGAGAAAGTTTAGTAATAGTTGAATAAGGATGCACTGGTGCGGACTGAAGAGCAGCGCGTGAGTGAGACCTGCAGTACTTCAACTGAGAGACGATCAGTCCACATGGACAGACTCAGTGAAGCAAGACGTTTCAAGTCGCATTTAGTGTATTTGTGAATGGAATGAACAGGTGAGGATCATCTGTCTGAATTTATCAAATGTTCGTACCTGTGCGAGTTTTAATGAAGTTTGGATGAAGATGAAGAACAGCGTATTAAAGATCTTCGCCAGGAGGAAAATACATAGAGCTTCCTGAACAACTATTGCGCATTTAATATTTTAGCGGTATTTAGCGGACAGATACGCACGCAACTGTGCAAAATGCTCACAGTGCGTAAAAGTTTATGGGTACGTTTAGCTGTGCTGCTGGCTGTCTGGATAGAGCGCGCGATCAGCTTCCCTGTGAGGCATCACGAGAGACCCAGACACGGCGACTCCATAGAGGTAAGTACAAGTGGATCAATATTTTATTATTTATTTATTGTTACTTTGCAAGTGCTGTATGGGTCAATTTTATTGTTTTGCCTCTGTGTCAGACCCATATTTAAACCTTTAAATAGCATGTAATGTTAAATAACATAGTATGCAAATATCATTTTTAACTGAGTATTGTTAGTATTAGTAGTATTGTTGCGTAATTTCCAAATAATCTGTACTAGAATGGGTGAATATGTGGTTACACTTTATTTTAAGGTGTCCTTGTTACAGTATAATTATACATATAAGTACTGAGTAATATTAATTAACTACATGTACTTACTATATGGTTAGGGTTATGATTTGGGATTGGCTTAGGGTTACTTGCATGCAATTATGCATAATTAATTGTTATTATAATAGTAAGTACATGTAGCATGTGTAACAAGGACACCTTAAAATAACGTGTTACCGAATATGTTATTGTGTGTATGTTGATGCATGATACATGTATTTGGATACAAAATGCTGTATAACCATAGCATGACAAATGCATCAGGCCATTTTATTTCAAAAATGTTTTAAAAAATAATTTACACTACGCATTTCCAAATGCAATAGGCTGATTCATAATGAAAGAAAAAAATAATTTGTGGATCTGACTTTTGTTGATTCATACAAAACTGCCCATAGTTGAAGAAACTTCACCATGGAACATAGCAGTTATTCTGAAAGACCCAAAAGCACAAACAGAGCAGGTTTTATTCATTTCAAGTCTTTAAGCATTAATAATGTACATTGTGTCACTTAAAGGGGTCATATGATGCGATTTCAAGTTTTCCTTTCTCTTTGGAGTGTTACAAGCTGTTCGTGAATAGATAAGATCCCTGAACTAAATGAATACAATTTAATGTATGCTGAGGATATAACTATGTCTTCAGAAAAGTAAGAGTCTGAGGTGATGAACACTGCTAATAACAGTGATCATGAAGGAATTTATTACAATTTAATGCTGATATTTCTATATTTTTAATAATCAGTTGTTTACGCTACCACAAAATGGTAAAGGGGTTGGCTATTTAAAATATGCCTTCCTCATGTGCCTTTTGGAATGACTTGTTCACATTAATGAGTGCTCATTTGCCATGCCGTTGTATAATTGTGGCAGATGCCACGAATATTTTGGTTAGAATAACAGAAATGATCTTAACTCATAACCACCCCATAGGTGAGAGTTGCATCTTGCTTCGTTAACATGACTGAAACGAGTGACTTGAGGTAGTGACACCAATAAATTCAATGCTCTAACCCTGTTTTTATTATTTCACCATGCAAAGAGAGGCCTCAGACAGTAGAGCAGTACAATAGTGAGGCCTTACATAATACTGGTCAAAAAACACTTCGTTTCACTCTCTCTCAAGGGGTCATAGTTCAGCTCCTAAACTGTTTTTTTAACCCCACTTCTGTGTTAATGTGGTATTTCCTGCATTCTGGTCTCCTTGATGCTATGTTTGTGCACAAGGGGGCCACGTCTAACCTCTCCAAGAAAGGTCCTGCTGCTACTCAGCTTTGTATTAATAAATGTCTCTTTTGTTTTTACAAGTGGGGCAGGGGTCGTCAATGGGAAAGGGAACGGGGGATCTTAGATTATTGTTTTTCTTCACTGGTTTGGAAATGGCGTGGTCCTGGGACTTTGATATGGGAGGTCACATAAATCTAGGCTGCACTGCAGACTGCTTTCCCAAATGCCACAACATAAAGTGTGTGAGCTGATTGTGTCCATGTGTCTCACCAATGAGCTCAATATACAAAGTGTGTATCATATGGTCTTTCGCTAGCTAAGGCTTTGTTTTGGATTCTGGAATTCATGCCATATGTTTGTGATGGCTAGAAAGCCCACTGGCAGGACAGGCCACATTCCACAGGGAGGAAAGACAATTTTACAATGAATTAACAATACAAAGAAAGACAAGAGATGGCCTCTAGGAGACAAAGGATGTAAGGCGAGATTTGGTTTCTATTCCAAACACTTAGGAAATTAAACTCGCTCTGTTAGTCTATGTTAAGAGTCTTTACTGAGTGACAGCAACTAGTCTTTCAGCCCCTCTTGTTGAGACCTCCGGGAAGAAAAGACCAATTAATTTTTAGAATAAGTCTTACAGAGAAGCTCAAATACCCCTGAGTGTCTTATCTGCAGGCCAAGTAGTATAGTTAAAATTTGTAAGGCAAATGCAAAGGCTTTGACAGGTTAGGTAGTAACATGGACAGTTACTTCATTGTTCGGCTCTCAAGTCAGTAGAAACTTTGGTTCTTATAAATGTTTACAGGTCCCCAAGCGAGCAAGAACATCAGCACAATTTCAGTGGAAAATGGGTACAAGTTGACTTATTATAAGTTTTCATTTAAGAACATCCCATCCTTTTTACTTGAGAGTAACTGTATACCTCTAATAAGTCATTATCAACTGTGTGACCATATGCAGGAAATATCATAATAGTAACTAAATCCTGTGTTTGACAAATGAAGGTCACTGTAGATGTTCCAAATTTTCAGAAATGTCAGAACTCTGAAGACTAATTCGCTGCTGGTTCCATTTGTTTTTCATCAGACACATCCTCAGACATTTTTGAGAGACATTGACCATAATCGCTTGCACCAGCAGAACCAGATCCAGAATGATTTGGCAGACCTACATCCCCACCAACACAGGTGGCTCCAGCATCGCTCAACAGGTGTCCTACCACAGCCTGAGCCCGAGGAAGCATCAAAACCCTTTGTCCTAGACCTCAAAAACTTTCCAGACTTTGCAAATGCTGACACTGGCTCCCAAAACCCGAATATTCAGGTGAGCAGATGCAAGAGCACACATCTCAAGTTAGTAGCCATCTCTGTGAAATGCTTTGTGATATGATGGTAGTGAGTTCCTCTTCCAATACCTTTGACGATTGAGCGGGCAAGTCATAATATCCCAGCCCGGATATAATAAGCCATTACCGTGTTTCTCTACTCTGAGGCTAATGTCTAATCCTGTGTAATCCAAAGTGGATTCATCAGCATCCATAGTGAGTCATTACTCCTGATTGGATGTAATTAAGTGTAATAGGTAATCTGATCTTGAGATGAAGAGGAAGTAATTCTGCTTGATTTGATATTGAGCCTGAAAAAAAAAAAACCCTGGTCAGTGACTCACCGCTGAAACTTACTGTCACTTACTGTTCTCTAGACTTACTACAGGATGATTTGTCTTCATTGCCTTTATTAGCTGTGTGTGTTCTTAAAATAACACCCAATGTTCCATCCTATTATAATTCAGTGATTTAGTCCCTGTGTACTTTGCATCCTTGGTTGTAGGTGACCATCGAGGTGTTGAATGACCCACCCATGGAAGTGGACATGGACCTGGTTAAAGAATGGAGTAATGACTGGTCTACATCTTCTCCCTCCTCTACTGTAGAATGGCTGGGTGGGAAGAAGCTTTTCTGGCCTTTATTTTGGGGCTACGCAGATGTAGATTCAGGTGAGGATGGTACTGGCCAAGCAGTGAAGGAAGAGGATGATTATGCACTGGAGTATGACAGTGGGGAGCCCCTTCCTAGTGGGCTGGGCAAAACAGGTGGCAACTTGGAAAGCCCATGGACTCAACGCCATTATGGTGAGCGCTTTCTTTTATATTAGCCGTTTCTACTCACTGGTCTTGAGAATTTAGAAGTAAGAGTACTTTCAAGCTGTGCAATTAATAAAAGCCTTGGAATGGAGAAATCTGTCTTCAGGCAAGTTCAGAATTTGCAGAACTGCCATGTATCCGTGTATCAAAACTGTGAGTAGAAAAAGATGGTGTCAAGCTGGAGGAATGGGAGAATTTAAGAAAGCTGCATTGGCAGCAGTCAGATGAAGGCGATTTGGAGAGTGGTTTAAGGGAAAGAGAGATGTAGAGATTGGGGAGTAAGGGTAGAGCGAGCTGTTTCACAGCATTGATTCGGACTAGCCAGTGGCGGGGTATTTGTGAGCGCCGGACCTTTGATGTAGACACTGGTTTCACTCGGCGGAGAAGACCGCTGTTTGAAGATGAGCCCAATCCGCTCACTAATGGCAGCGCGAGTATGCTCTCTTGGACAAATAAGCCCATGCTTGTGTTCAATTAGAGCACAAATCGGGAACACAGAGTTAGAGGGGTCATCCGTTTACTTTTTATGTCCCGCGGGTTGGGCCCCAGACCCTGCATCCCCCCACCACCCCCTCCATCCCAGAGCGGCTGGGTCTTTTAAGCTTGTTCAAGAATCCTAGGCTTTTCAAGGCCATGCATAACATTACGCCTCTGTTCCTTTTTTGTTTTTCTCTCCAGGCCATGTCTGTTTTATGGTGGGAATTGCACACTTTGCATTGTAGCTGTGCAGTCTTGGTTCATTGGAGACGAGGATTAAATGGAATGGGAGTTTAATTGGTGTGGTAAAGGAAAGACACAATGACTGAGTGCTAAATTTAGAGATTAAGTATGGCCTCAATCTAGACCAGAGGTTACTGGATAATCTTATTTTTAACATAATTTTCCTCAAGTCCTGAACTTTATATATATATATATATATATATATATATATATATATAAAACCCCTATTCCAGAAAAGCTGGGAGAT